TGAACGTGGGTTCAACAGCTTGAGTCTGTACCAGCGTGATGACTCGGAGAGAAGTCGGCTGAATCGGAGGTGGTGAGGCGCGGAGGAGACAAAGAGGGCGACGGTGGCCTGTTGATGCGTTGGCGAGCTCGGTGGCGCGGTCGCCATGCTCGCGGATCCAGGCGACCATCGCAGATGAGAACGCTGCAGATCGCTCCGCGGGAGCAGCTACGTACACGTGCGTGTTGTCATCATCGAGATCGTAAAGGTCTGCGCCGTTGGCAAGCAGCGTGTTGAGCGCGCCGAGGGAGAGGAGGTTGCAGCGGTCTATGGCATGCACCGGATGGGGCACATGGGCCTGAGCAACGTCAAGCAATGCATGGGCGTGCTGCGATGCAGGGAAGTCTGGTTGGGCGATGGTAGTGCGCGCGCGACGCAAGTCGAGGGTAACCTTGGAGCAGTAGTCCAAGCGGAGGGATGTGAGGTTGGGGCAGCCACCGGTGAGGGCGACCACTGCCGCATCGGTGATGTTGGAGCAGTTGCACAAGTCGAGGGATGTGAGGTTGGGGCAGCCACCGGCGAGGGCGACCACTGCCGCATCGGTGATGTTGGAGCAGTTGTTCAAGTAGAGGGATGTGAGGTTGGGGCAGCCACCGGTGAGGGCGACCACTGCCGCATCGGTGATGTTGGAGCAGTTGCGCAAGCCGAGGGATGTGAGGTTGGGGCAGCCACCGGCGAGGGCGACCACTGCCGCATCGGTGATGTTGGAGCAGTTGTACAAGCGGAGGGATGTGAGGTTGGGGCAGCCACCGGCGAGGGCGACCACTGCCGCATCGGTGATGTTGAAGCAGCCGTTCAAGTCGAGGGATGTGAGGTTGGGGCACATCTCCGCCACCACCATGGCCATGGCGTCGGTGAAGGACTTGTTGTTGACGAAACCAATCCTCGCCCTCACCTCGCCCACGCCCACGCCATCCCGCAGAGCCCTCCTCACCTCCTCCACCGTCCTCGCCTTCCTCACGTCCACCACTCGTCCAGCACCATTCGCAGCCATACTCCCTCTCCACTCTGTCAGACAGAGAGATATACCCTTCCCACCTTCCCCATACCCCCCGCCACCCACCCACTCACACAGCCATTCGGCAGACATCAAAGCCATCCAAAAGAATTGACTCTGATCGCGTCAGGCAGGATCACAGCCCCCTCCACCACTCAGACACCCCCACCATACTCATTGCCCACTTGTTTATCCTCCCGACCACCTTCTGTACACGCCCATGGTCCCGTATCATCCATCGTCCCCGTCAGACCACCCCGTCACCCTCCATTGGTCCTCCCGGCACTGTGACGTCAATCTCGGCACTGTGACGTCGTGCCCTTCCCCGCCCCCTCTGCCGGGAAGCCCCGCCACCACCCGCCACCGCCCGCCCCTTCCGCCCGCTCCGTCGGATGGGTCTCTGCCTTGATCACCTCCGCAAGGGTCTCGCTCTTCCCTCTCCAGGGCATGCCTCTCCGTCGGCCTCTCTCCAACTCGTGCCTCCGCCGGACGTTGTCGATGACTTCTGCGGGCATGCCCAACACGCTGCTGTGCTCGTGGGTGTCTCGATCAACGTCTGCTGGCCACTGCGCCTCGGTCTTGCCTATCTTCTG